GACAAACACCGTATGCTAACACATATATATGGAATTTAAGAAAAAAAAATGTCATGAAGAACCTAGGAGTGAAACAGGAATAAAGACACAGACTTACTAGAGAATGGACTTGAGGATATGGAGGGGGGAGGGTAAACTGTGACAAAGCGAGAGAGAGGCATGGACATATATACACTACCAAACGTAAGGTAGATAGCTAGTGGGAAGCAGCCGCATAGCACAGGGAGATCAGCTTGGTGCTTTGTGACCGCCTGGAGGGGTGGGATAGGGAGGGTGGGAGGGAGGGAGAGGCAAGTGGGAAGAGATATGGGAACATATGTATATATATAACTGATTCATTTTGTTTTGAAGCTGAAACTAACATACCATTGTAAAGCAATTATACTCCAATAAAGATAAAAAAAAAAAAAAAGAAGTGGTAGTGCGTAGACATGAGAAACAAGGTCAAAAAATGTGCCTAAATTAAGGATCTTGAGATGGGAAGATTATCCTGGATTATCAGAGCAGCCCAATATAATTACAAGAGTCCTTGTAAGAGGGAGGCAGGAGAGTCATAGTGAAAGAAAGAGATAAGACAAGAGAGAGAGACTGGGTGTGTGTGAAACTAGAGTCTCTCCTAGAGCCTCCAGAAGGAACGCAGCCCTGTGGATCCATTTCAGACATCTGACCCCCAGAGTTGTAAGATAATAAATGTGGGTTTTTTTGTTTGTTTTTGTGTGTGTGTTGTTTTAAGTCACTAAGTTTGTGGTAATTCACTACAGCAGCAACAGGGTAATAACACGTGGCTTGAACGTCAAAATTTGGAATTGTGGCTAACTGCTCCATCTCTTAAGGTGGTGGAGTCTATGAGATCTCTCAATCCCAGCTTCTTTTTGCCAGAGGAACCAACCACAAGATCAGAGGGTTGAAATGGAAACTTTCAGCCCCATCCCTTGACCTCTCAGGTGGGGAAAGGGGCTGGAGACCGAATCCAATCACCAATGACCAATGATGTAATCACTCGTGCCTACGTAATGAAGCCTGCAGAGTATAGGAGCTCTTTGTACCCAGCCCTATACATTGACCCAGGCAATCCTTCCATTTAGCTGTTCCTGAGTTGCATCCTTTATAATAAATGGATAATAGTTAAATGCCTTCCTAAGTTTTGTGACCTGTTCTAGCAAATTACCAAACCCAAGGAAAGGGTTATGGGAACCCCAGATTTGCAACCAAGTCGGGCAGAGGTTGTAGGTAATACTTCAGATTGGTGTCTGAAGTGGGGGGCGGGGACAGAGGGCAGTCTTGTGGGACTGTGCAATCTGTACTGACTCTGTAAGCAGATAAGGTAGGGGGTGAACCAGGCATGGCTTCCTTGATGTGAGAGAAGCCATTTTTGCCCTAAGCCATTTTGTGATCTAAGCCTGCCTAGGATGCTTGCCCTTGAATAGGTCTCTATAATCAATGATCATAAGGGAATGCAGGAACAAAGGAAATGCAGTCAAGAAACAACAGTTCAGAGATGAGAGTTCTAGTTCCTCCTCAAGGGATATACATAACAATCTGATACATTATCTTTGAGTTCTGAAAGCACTAAGGCCCCCACCCAGGTGGAGGATGGTAACTACACACTGAGACCTCAGATAGGTCAGGACCTAAGGAATGATGATGTTAACCTTTTCTGACCCTTGGGAACTTGGACTCTGTTGACTTTTGCCCCAATTCTGTGCTGAATTCTCCTCTGCTCTAGCCCCTTCCTGAATGTGCACATATCCTTAGCTTAAAACTTCCCCAATTTTGCAGTTCGGGGAGACATTCCTTTTGGAAAATCCCCCGTGTTCTCCTTACTTGCTGCAAGTTATAAATCCTTTCTTCTCCTGATCTTTGGCTTGTTTGTGTCTCTTGGCTGGACACCCACCAAGAGGCAAACCCAGTTTTCAGGTGAAAACTCCAGGTAGTATCAGAACTGAACTAAATTGTAGGACACTCAGTTGGTGCCTGCAAAGAACTGGAGAACTGCTTGGTATGGAGAACACACACACACATTTGGTGGCCAGAAGGGTTCTGTGGGTAGTGTATAGAGGAAACAGAATTTTCCATTAGTTGTGAGTTTTTCTTTCAAATCCATTCTGCTGTGATGAGATATTCCACTTTAAATTTTCTACTTTTTCTGACCATCGCTTTCCTGCAAGTTGGGAATATCATGTCTGGAAATGTCAACATACATCCTGTTCTTTCAGCACAGCGATAGTGTCACTGCATAATAAACACAATGTTTTGCCATCTAATTCAATAACAAAATAATCCATACTCTACTGTGCTTTAAAAGTATGACATATAAAATCCACTTTTCTTAATTTGACTGGATATGAACTGGTAATAAAAAATAAAATATCGCAGTAGGGCAGTACACACGAAATGCTGTGGAGTTATAACCGCATCACCAAGATCTGTGTGCTGAGCACAGTATGAAGCACTGTGACATAAAATCTCTGTCACAACCACTCAGCTCTGCAGTTGAAGCATGAAAGCCACAGATAATACATAAACAAACATGGCTGTGCACCAGCAAAACACTGAAATGTGAACTTCACGTAATTTTTATGTGTCACAAAATATTATCTTTTCATTCTTTTTCAATCATATAAGAATGTAAAAACTACTGTTGGCTTTCAGGCTGTACAAAAAAGGGCCGTGAGCTAGATTTGTGGCCCATTGGTCCTCAATTTAAGGATGCCTGATTTAAACCACCATATGACTATAAAACTGTACAGCACAGGCTGAAATACATTCAATTCTCATTATTCACGGTAGTTTTGTTCTATAAAGCCACCCATCACTCCTAGAGGAAATTCAGAGTTAGGCTCCTTCAAGCCTTTGGTCACAACAACCAATTTCATCAACCAATCAAGACATAATCACGTCCTATGTGTGTTTCTGTTTAAAGACATCTTATTTAATATATATTGTTGATTCATTAACACTGAACTCATGGCCAGTAGCACTGTAAATCACACTGGAAAAAGGCTTACCTAACACATATTTTCTCTGTGAGGACATCACAGTCTTCTTGTACTTAGTGCTCGGGGGCCATCTTAAACAGAGAAATCATCACCAAAAAGTGTAAAAATGAGAAAAACATGGCACTAAATAGACCACAAGAAGGACACGTTTACAGTATGAGAGCTGAAACAAAATGCAGTGTCACTTGATTTGACTGCTGCTGGGAATGTGTGCACTGGTCTCAAATTTTTTGCTGCTCTGAGCGTGCAGCCACATGTCTGCTAGTAACAGCAAAAATATCACAAGCGGGCTTCCCTGGTGGTGCAGTGGTTGGGAGTCCGCCTGCCGATGCAGGGGGCACGGGTTCGTGCCCCGGTCCGGGAGGATCCCGCACGCCGCGGAGCGGCTGGGCCCGTGAGCCATGGCCGCTGAGCCTGCACGTCCGGAGCCTGTGCCCCGCAACGGGAGAGGCCACAGCGGTGAGAGGCCCGCGTACCGCAAAAAAAAAAAATATCATGAGCATTTTACAAATAAATTTTAGTGAGTAGGTGAATTCACAAATATGAAACTGTGAATGAGGATTGACTGTATTTTAAAGTAAAGTAACACATTGTGATGTAGATACGTGAGAGTTAAAGGAAGAAAATATTTCATTTTAAAATCTCTACTTGGTTGTGACTGTAATTTTAAATGGGAATTTCTGGTTTTCACTTGCATCCCAAAATGGAACATCTGTATTTGAAAACTCATATAAGCACAACTGAAGCTTCTATAAGGAAACCACAAAAGGAGAGTTTCCTACCTATAGCAACACATGGGACACATTATGAATAACATGGAATAAGCAGCTGTTAATTCTCAGATACAGAATTCATATTTTTAATACTCCTTACCCTCAGAAGCATCCATCACTCACAGAAAAGCCAGGAAGTTTGAGGTTATAATTAGAAGAAATTCCTCAAATTATCAATTGTACTACCGTTGGAACATGCAGAAATGCAGCTGCAATGAAAGGGATATAGTTAGGTATATTTCATAGTCCAGTTTTAAGTTTTCCCGGAGAGCTACAATTTAGCCAGAAGACAAAAACCAAAGCTAAATTAAATACAATGCTGCCTTCTCAACTAAGGAAAAACAAATATAACTGCCACATCAGGGACACAAAGGAAGAGGAGCATGACCGTAAAATTTTCTCAAAATAGAAAAGATAGAAATGGGGCATTTTCCCCAGAGGTTTCTTTTTCAAGAAATTCTTGGCCCTCTGGAGTCTAGCAGGAACTTTCAAGGATAGAAATTTCTTTTTTGTTGCCTTAGACAGAAAAACTCATTAACAGTGGCTGCTTTTTTAAAAAAAATTATTTATTTATTTTTGGCTGCACTGGATCTTCGTTGCTGCGCACAGGCTTTCGCTAGCTGCGTTGAGCGGGGGCTACTGTTCGTTGCGGTGCACAGGCTTCTCATTGCGGTGGCTTCTCTTGTTGTGGAGCACGGGCTCTAGGCACACGGGCTTCAGTAGTTGTGGCTCGCGGGCCCTAAGTTGTGGTGCACAGGCTTAGTTGCTCCGCAGCATGTGGGATCTTCCCGGACCAGGGCTCAAACCCGTGTCCCCTGCACTGGCAGGCGGATTCTTAACCACTGCGCCACCAGGGAAGCCGGGCTGCTTTCTTAAAGCATTTATTTTGATTTTAAGGTCTTTCCATCAAGGTTTTTGTTCTCAAACACCTGGAAGTCCTCATTTTACAGAAGAAAATCAGCAGTGTAGGCCTAGGCAATTAAAGGTAAGACTATCTTGCAAAACTTACGTAAAAACTGGGCAGTCAAGAAGGTAGTCAGTGAGAATACAAGGGAACAGGGTTCTCTTGTTACATATTCCATTGGGACAGTTGTGTCGGATCTCTCTCATGTTCAAGTTACAGCAAAGCAAAACTTACTGCTCTAAGAACTAGGCAAGGCTTCTGTGTAAAAGTGCTTTCTTGGTTTAATCTCTTCTGCTGCCATTCCTCAGCTGGTATTTTTTTTTCTTTTTTTGTGGTAACTGCCAGGCCTTGTGGTTCCTATGGACAGGAATCAACCAGGATCAAAGTGCTTTTATGTACAGCTCTGTCAACAGAAAAATTCATCAACAGTTTAAGGAAAAAAATGCAAAAATTTCAAGCCAATTTGAGGATTATACTCTGAGAGGTAGACTTTCAGAAAGCTCTGGGGACCGTTCTGCCAATTAGGGGTCAAAGCACAGTTATGTACGTTTTTGAGACAAAGGGTTTATGTCATACGACATATTATTAACAGTTTACACAATCCAGACCTACAGGTACAAAGCAAACAGTGGGTCATGAGTCATCATGGTCCCTTACAAGAAGGAAGGTTATCTCCTAAGAGTCAGTGTCCCTTAATGAGATTAAGGAATGTCATCTCCTAAAGAGCTCTGGTTAATGCAGATGCACAATACCTGCTAAAGGGGAGGGAGGAGGCCCAAAGGGACAAAGAAAAAATTTATGTTTAAACTTTTCTCATCTTGCCGTAAAACATGAATTTTATTTCATCAGTTCTTAACTGAGATTGTGGAAGGTCTTAGGTGAAACAGATATGAAGGCTAGGCTTTCTGAGTATACTGGTGGAGAACTGTGGGGAGGACCCTCTTTTGTAGGACCTCAGGGGCAATCCCTAAATCTATCTCTTAAAAGAAAAATTTGAAAGAGATATATCTTATAATATCAAATACATTCAATAGCATCTTCCTCCTGGTGCATAAGCAGCATAAAGATTTTGTTAACAGCATCCACAGAAAACAAATATACCAGTAAACATCATTATATATTTTACCTGACAATAAGAGTTCCAAAACAGCAATGCAATATTAACAAGAGCAACACAATTACCAAATAAAGTTCAAAGTTTTCTAATAGTCCCTTTTACTTTGAAACTGTATTCCACAAATGACTATAGTCAAGTTAATATGTTCAAGAGTCACAGAATCATTCCCTATCTGTGGCTATGTTAGTCCTTATCTAATGAAGTCTGTTTCAGCTGTTTGTTGGGATTCTAGCTGCTGACAGTTTGAAGCTCTTAATGGTTGTGGCTTTGGGGCTAGGAAGACAGAAGGGTCTACTGTACTTTGAGATGACAGGAAAGACTCAAACAGCTCTGTCTCCAGAATTCTGCACAACAAGCTTACTTCACAATTATGTGATCTATCTATATTCTCTAATGACTGAATACACAATGTTCATATGCATGCTCTCTGGCTGAATGAGATGATTCTTCACCTACTATTTAATTTCTAGTAATAGTGTAACTAATGTAACTTCATGTATTCAGTCATTATTTTTAAAACTTGCTAAATACTATCCTGATCTTTTGAGCTTTTAAAATTTACTTTGATCCTTTTTTCTAAGCTATGAAATTATGAATTTTGTAATATTAAGATCCTCAGACCAATTTAATGTTATGCATTATCATACCAAGGTGTACAGGTCTAAAGGAGTCTCCCAATTAGCATAACCTTGACCCTAGTACCAGTTTTTCACTTTCTTAAAGGATTATCAGAGATATTGGGTTCCTTCATATTCTATATGATTAGCTTAAGATTTTCTACTTTGGGCTCTAGCAGTACTTAGTTCTATGCTCTGTATTCTAGACTCCTTAAATTACAGAGAAAGGAAATGTACAATTTTTGTATTCCTTCAGAGCAAGGTTGAGAAGCAACACTACCTACCCTATTAGGTACTTTCTTACATGCGTGGACTACTCCACTGCATGTATCTCAAGTCCTTTTCATTTTAAAATCACACATTAACTCATCATCAATGTATGTTCCATTAGAATAATACTTATTAACCAGGAATTACCAGAAGGGGGGTCAATAAAGGCCTCCATGTTGTGAGTTCCAGGACTTTTCTGAAGAGAAAACCATGGCTTTATTAAATGATCAACCGGGTCTATGATCCTCCACACCTCCAAAATTTTAAAAATCACTTCACTGGATTCTTTTATTTTATAAAACTTCTCTAGTCCTGTTCTCCAAAGTTCTAGCACCTCTCGCAAGTTGTAATTTTATAAACAGGGCCTGACACTTTGATCCCACTTTTATATAACTGAACATACTACGTTTTTAGCACTTAAAAGATTTTAAGTACTATCAAATATATCTGGATTATATCTTAATCCACAGTACTTCACAGAGCTCATGATTTTAAAAAGCAAATTAAACCATATCTGAATTTCTAAATCTTCTAAATACATTAACAGTGAAACTTGTAATTGTTTCAAAATTACTAGAAAGTATGTCATTTTCTTGAAATGAACTTGGCGTAAAAGGCAGCAAAGAGGTCTTTATAAGGAGTGTCTGAATCTGACTTGGTCAACGGTATTCGACAAAGTTGGCGAAATCTAGGAGAACGCAGCAGCAAGTTCTGTGAAAGGCCCATGAGGCTGGAGCATAACCAGTAGAGAACAATCGACTGTAAAGAGAAGAAAGGACATGAAAGTTAGCATCTCTCCCTTCTCCAAGGACACCAAGGTCTAGAAATAGGTAGGCAATAAAAAAAAAAATTACAATCTCTGTAAATATAAGTACACCAGGACTGACCAAGACTTTCAGTAGCTATTAGATACCTGTGACAGATCAGATAGGTAGGTAAGAAAGTTGAAAGGAAGACTCAAAAGCAAAAAGAAACAAAAAGGAGAGGTATTCATGACAGAAAGTGGATGACAGAGAACAGCTCCCAAGCAGAGGTCCAAGAGAGATCTCACCTCCATCTCTGGCAGTTAAGCATACTTTTTCCCCACCAAGAGTCTTGACAGGCTGCTACATTGAAGGTACGCTACTGGGGGCACAGCCATTTATCATGGCAAACTTAGCCCCCCTAGACCTATATACAGTCACCTATCTTCCAAATTTTTGCCACCAACCAGTTTCTAAGTGTAGTCAGGACTGCATTATCTTTGCCTTTTCCTGAGACAAAGAGTCTCAGCATTATCTTCAACTTTCTTTTTTACTACCATTCAGACTTACTATTTAGGTCAAAGACTAAGTTCTGTGGCCTCTCAAAACATTCCCATACATACATACATACATCTTTCCCAAACCTTTCTTTGGCATCAGAAGGTAATCAGTCCCCAGAGGCAAGACCACGTGGTGGTTGAATCCAGGTCCTGGAGTCAAACTGCCTGAGTTTGAAATCTATTTATCTAACTTTGGGTACATTATTTTTCTTGTTTCAGTCTTCTCTTCTATAAAATGGGGACAGAACTGTACCCACCTCAAAGAGATGCTGTGAGGAATAAATGAGAAAATTTAGGTAGAGTGGTAAGCACAGTAATGTCGCCCATATTAAGCACTTGCATTTGTTCCAGAGCAAGTTTTTAAGGGCAGTAAGCAATACATCCTTAAAGGCAGGTTAGCACAGTAGTTAAGAGTAAGAGCCAAACTGCCTGGATGTGTGTTAGACTCTGCCACTTAAAAGATGAGTAACCTTGATGAGTTACTTAACCTCTCTGTGCCTCAGTTTCCTCAGCAGTAAAGTAGAGATTATAATAGCTCCTACTTCAGTGCACTGTTGGGAGAAATATGTATACTAATATATGTAAATGATTTTAAAAAGGGCCTGGTACAATGTTAATGTTGAATAAATATTAACTACCATCATCATCAAACTTATCCATGAAGCGAACAGTATCCTGAGCCTCAACTACGTCAGACTAAAAACTGCCTACTAAGTATCATTCTTCTTCCTTAGTAAGAAAAATACTAATTTTCAGCAGGGTATACTGCCATCTAAAAAAAAGAAAAAGAAGACTATCCTTCCCAACCTCTTCTGCAGTTAGGTACAGTCACATATTTAAGATGGAAGCTCAGTGTTTGGTGGGGCACCTGGCCAGGGTCCTGAAAGGGGCTGACTGTGCTTGAGGAACCTTTTTACTATTCTCGCAAGGTAACAAGCTCCAGTGGCCATCGTGACTATCCTGCGGCCTTCAAGACCATTACAGGCTGTGGATGATGCAGCACTGAGACAGAAGCAGGCTGCCTTTCTCAAGTCTTCACAGGGATGCTCCATCAGCTCTACACTGAATTACCTAATTCAGAATTTCCTGTATTTGAGAGAATGGATTTTTGGGTACTTAAGACACTGTTATTCAGGGCTTCCCTGGTGGCGCAGTGGTTAAGAATCTACCTGCCAGTGCAGGGCACCTGGGTTCGAGCCCTGGTCCGGGAAGATCCCACATGCTGGGAAGCAACTAAGCCCGCGAGCCACAACTACTGAGCCCGCACGCCTACAGCCCATGCTCCACAACAAGAGAAGCCACTGCAGTCACAATGAGAAGTCTGCACATCGCAACGAAGAGTAGCCCCCGCTCGCTGCAACTAGAGAAAGCCCGCCCACAGAAACAAAGACCCAACACAGACAAAAATAAGATAAAATAAATAAGTAAAAAAAAAAAAAAAAAGCTTAAAAAAAAAAGACATTGTTTTTCAGATCTGTTACTCACTTTGAATCCAACCTCTCACTACAACTTTACTGCTCCTATTTCACTTGATCTGGGCGTTTCCTCAGTTGTAACAGGTATTATTTCTCCTTAGAAATGTAGTGAGTTTGTATTGTTCTGTTTTTACAGAGTATTTTATAATAATATTATTATTACATGAAAAGTACTATAATAGACACTTGTCATTTCATTAATTCTCACAGACATTATGGTGTCTATTTTAGAAACAAGGAAACTTATTTTACACAGGATTAATGATGGTACTATGTCTAAGTGACAGCTTAAAAACATTTAACATTTAATTGAGCCCATGGACACCGCCAATTAAGCGTCATTGAAGTCTCCCCCATCTACTGCCATCATGTGTAAGTCGGGGTCTCCCAAAGAGCCCGAACATCTGCAGAAGCTCTTCATCGGAGGTTTGAGCTTTGAGCTTTGAAACAACCGATTAGAGTCTGGGGAGCCATTTTCAACAAAGGGGAACGCTCACAGACTGTGTGGTAACGAGGGATCCAAACACCAAGCGCTCCAGAGGCTTCGGGTTTGTCACGTATGCCACTGTGGAGGAGGCGGATGCAGCCATGAAGGCAAGGCCACACAAGGTGGATGGGAGAGTTGGGGAACCAAAGAGGGCCGTCTCAAGAGAAGATTCTCAAAGACCTGGTGCCCACTTAACTGTGAAAAAGATTTTTGTTGGTGGCATTAAAGAAGACACTGAAGAACATCACCTAAAAGATTATTCTGAACAGTATGGGAAAACTGAAGTGATTGAAACCATGACTAACTAAGGCAGCAGCAACAAGAGAGACTTTACTTTTCATAACCTTTGGTGACCATGACCCCACAGACAAGACTGTCATTCAGAAACACCACACTGTGAATGGCCACAACTGTGAAGTAAGGAAAGCCCTATCTCAGCAAGAGATGGCTAGTGCTTCATCCAGCCAAAGAGGTCGAAGTGGTTCTGGAAACTTTGGTGGTGGTCATGGCGGTGGTTTTGGTGGGAATGACAACTTTGGTGGTGGAGGAAACTTCAGTGGTCGAGATGCCTTTGGTGGCAGCCATGGTGGTGGTGGCTATGGTGGCAGTGGGGATGGCTATAATGGATTTGGTAATGACGGAAGCAATTTCAGAGGTGGCAGAAGCTACAATGATTTTGGCATTTACAACAGTCAATCTTCAAATTCTGGACTGATGAAAGGAGGAAACTTTGGAGGCAAAAGTTCTCGCCTCTATGGTGGTGGAGGCCAATACTTCGTCAAACGATAAAACCAAGGTGGCTGTGGTGGTTCCAGCAGCAGCAGGAGCTATGGCAGTGGCAGAAGGTTTTGATTACTGCCAGGAAACAAAGCTTAGCAGGAGAGGAGAGCCAGAGAAGTGACAGGGAAGCTACAGGGTACAACAGATTTGTGAGCTCAGCCAAGCACAGTGGTGGCAGGGCCTAGCTGCTACAAAGAAGACATGTTTTAGACAATACTCCTGTGTATGGGCCAAAAAACTCGAGGACTGTATTTGTGACTAAGTGTATAACAGGTTATTTCAGTTTCTGTTCTGTGGAAAGTGTAAAGCATTCCAACAAAGGTTTTCACTGTGACTTTTTTTTTTTTGCACCCATGCTATTGACTGCTAAATGTAATAGTCTGATCATGATGCAGAATAAATGTCTTAAAAAAAACAAACATTTAATTCACATTTTTTACGATAAAAACATACTATTTCAGATTCCTAAGACAAGTCCTATAAAGTACTTTTATATAAATGATATAACTCTAACTACCAGCAACAAATGACTACTACTTTACGGTCTATGTGTTGGCTCAGAGCTAAGACAGCTCTATACCTGACATAGCTTTACCCATCTTAGCACTAAAGTATCCATGGAAGCAAAAGGCTAAAAATATGAAATAACTGCAAATATAACATTTCTTTTTCTATTTCTATAAAAGTTTAATTACATATAAATAGGGACAAGTATATGTATCTCATAAAACTGTTATGAGATTAAACAATATTACATATGAACCCATACAAACCTAGCACAAAGTTTTGTTTCTTTTTTCAGTGCTAAAACTCCTTGGACCAGTCTATGAAGACAGAAGGAATTCAATATATCAGTTAATCAAACAGAGCAAATACTATGTTCATAGTACTGCATCAGGTACTTAGCAAGATTAAAAAAAAAAAAGAAAAAAAAAAGATGAAAAGGAGTTTGGTTTAATAGGAGGGTTAAGACACATTCACGTAAAGGAAGATTAACCAATCCCCCAAGAAATATTCAGATGTCACTTGGTGATAGAGACAGTAGATTCGTTACTACAGAAACCTAGAAACCAGTAAGGGATTGAGTAGTCAGAGGAAGCTCAATAGAAGAGGCAGAATCTCAGCCAGTCTAAGCTAGAAACAGAAGATTTATATTTAGCACATGCTTCACGCAATACTGGTGCTTACTCACTGAAGGTACTGACGCTGCAATTGGAATCATCAACACCGATAATGCACGAACAAAGTACGTTATATATGTCTGGAAACGAGACATTCCAACTTTTTGCAGAGCAAAAATCTGAAGGGGTAGAATATATAACATATGCTGATTATTGAAATGCACATTAAATGAGACAAGCTTTAAAATACAAACTGATTTTTGATTGGCCTCTACCTATATTTTAAGAAAAGCAAAAAAATTTAAAATAAAACTGATAAATTTATGTAAAATTCTTAAATGGAACTTTAAATAACAGCAATAAAGAGATTCATCTAAACAGTTTCACAGCATAATTTTTACAAGTCAATGTTTTTTAAAGATTGTCTGTAAAACTGAAGTCCCTTCAAGATAAGTATTATGTATGAATCACTGTCCTTGTTTTTTAACATCTAAACACAGGACCTGGCATAAAGAAGGAACTTAACAGGTATCTCAAAGGTTTGTGACCTGGCTACGTGGAGTACAGAAAAGAACCAAGGCTAGGAAAGGCAGTTATGGTTTATGAATTACTTATTTAAGAGGCAGCATAACTTAATGATTACGAGCACAGATTCTACACTCAAACTACCTAGATTCACAAGGCAGCCCTGCATTCAGTGGTTATGTGACCTTGCACAAGTTACTCAACCTTTCTGTGCCTTACCTTCTGCACCTTAAAATGGGGATAATAGTAGCACTGACATCACACGATTATTTTAAGAATTAAATGAGTTAATTCATGTACATTGCTTACAATAGTGCCTGGCACATGGTGAATGTTAAGTAAGAACAGGCTTTTATTAAACTTATGCATGCTGGGTCTTTAGATGGAGTAAAAGAAAGACTAGAGGACTGACATTATTCACTGTGACCCTGTGTTATCGATTCTTTCTTTCTAAGAAATATTCACTAATTATCAACCATGTTAACAGCACTGTGGTAGATGCTCTTAGGCTAACACACTTAGACTACACAGTCTTTCCTCAGGAAAACTTCACGCAAGACCTCAGAGTATCATCCTCACTTTTCTCGCCTGAAAAAATAAGGGGTGTATTAGATTTCCCAAACAGAGAGCTGTGGATATGAGGTCTGTGAAATCTCAACTGAGTTAGGTCTTTTCTAAGGTTTCTTCTAGCTCAAAGAGTCTATGTTCTTATGGACAGTTCTTTATGGAACAGGGGTCATATTTTATATGTATGTTTCTCCATTCCATCTTATAAAGAAGTTCTATGGCTTTTCTAAGGTTGTGTAACTTAAAAATGGCAGTCAGGTACTGACCACCTACAAATTGACATATTAAACATATACACAACACATCAATATATTGTAGGAAGAAAACCAGATTCATTAGGCATTTTAATTGTTGTCTTTACCAAAAAGCAAATCACAAAACTGTATGTATTAGAATCATATAATTTTAAAACTAAAAGACATTTTGGAAATGTTCAAATTCAGCTCTCTTAATTATGAGCATTCTGATCCCCAGAGGTGTTAAGGAACTGGCCTAAGACAATTTATCAACAGCTGATCAGCGACCAAAACTAAGGAGTCTCAATTTTAGCTCAGAGCTATCACCACCAACTCAAATACAATTTACATTTGAGGTCAGAACAGCAACAAAACCCCCAATGATTTAAATGGCAAGCAAATCTCATTTAAAACCACTGACCTCCACTATTAATAAGTTGATGACACCAATGGAGACAGGCAGAATCCAAGTGGAATCCAGGGCAGTGAGGTCAGGAAACCATAGGACCCCACCAGTAGCTAACTGCTCCTGAACAGAAAAACCTGCCGAAACATTTTTATAAGTAAAACAAAAGAATTTCTAAAATAGCAGAGGGAAGTAATTGCAATAAGGTGTTCCTCACACTAAAGATTTGCACTTTTTATTCATGTTATTTTCACTCCACAACGTAAGTTAGTTCTTCCTGTACTGAGAAAGAGGCAAGAAGCTTTCTGTAGTAAATAGATGTAGAGACAATAAAGATATGTAGCAGTAATCTTTTCAGACTTAAATTTAAAAAATTTAAAAAATTAGACTTTCTTTCAAGTCTATTTAGATTACTTTCTGGTTAGAAATGCCTTTAAATGAAAGTAAAAAACAAGCCCTTTACTTTATAACCTTTCTTAATTAATGTTTACACTTATAACTGTGAAAGCTTTTCTGGCTTCTTAAATTTATTAATAGAAAAAATTCTTGGCCAGGAAACCGTATTATGGAATTATAACCATGACCTCCAAGAAGCAGTACTAGTGACGTCCTTCCTAGATTGATTTGTTTTCTCAACACAGCTAGTTTGCTTTACACTTAATATTTTAAATTCTATACCCTTGTAAGGGAGATGATAAAAGTGTATTCTAGTTATGAGAAGTATGGATGTTTTTTATTTTTTGCTTGGTTTTTTCTTTTTTTTTAAGAGTACAAAGACAGGGCTTCCCTGGTGGCGCAGTGGTTGAGAGTCTGCCTGCCGCTGCAGGGGACGCGGGTTCGTGCCCTGGTCCGGGAAGATCTCACATGCCACAGAGCAGCTGGGCCCGTGAGCCATGGCCACTGAGCCTGCGCGTCCGGAGCCTGTGCTCCGCAACGGGAGAGGCCCCAACAGTGAGAGGCCCGTGTACCGCAAAAAAAAAAAAAGAAGAGTACAAAGACAACGTTAGAAAACTTATTTGGGGGAAACAGACTTCAATAATAACTACCTTCTGAATGTGTTGCCCCTGTGCTAAAATTCCGGAGAGCAACAGACACGAATATCCACATTGGAAGCTGAATCCAGACCAACACAGTGGCTTTGAAAGGGTGGCAGTTCTCCCGAACATACAGCTCTGAAACAAGCCTCCGCATAGTCTTTAGATAAGTGAGCCTAGTTTGAGGGAAGAGGGAAAAAGGGAAAGGAGAAAATGTCATTTGACTACTAGCAGTGTTTCATCCCCACAGCACAAACACACCCGTGCTGTGGTTACTGGCTAAAGGATTTATGCAGGATTTTTGGTTGTTGTAAGCTATACCACGGGGCTGCCTAAACAAAAGGCAAATAAAGCCTTTTACTCAAAGTTCTTTAGCAATGTACGCAAATTACATTAACAATTTGATAAATCTGACACTGTCAGACTACAGTCTTTGATTCTGGTGATCTCTGGCAAACTAGGCTTTGAGGAGGGAAATTTCACTACTAACATGGTATGACCACAATTTAAATCACAAATACTAGAGGTGAAAGCCCATTTTACTCATATCTCTCCACTCCAGCCAAGCTCAATCACTTGATCCCCGAATATACCTTGCAATGTGGTTCTGTACTGTGTATGCTCTTGGCCCGTCAAAATGGTCTTCACTCTTCAATCAACTCTTTCATAAAGGCTTTCCTACTCTGTTTCTCTATTAACCATATTAGTTATTTCTGTTAAGTCCCACTTTCTATACTATGGTATTGGGTCTTCATCTTTAAATCTCTCACAGCATGTTTTGTACAAGGTTGGTTTTCAATAGGTTTGCTGAATTTAATCCAATTATAATGTACTGAATTAAGACAGTATACGGAGACATTGCAGGCTCTTTGTAATTCAGCCTCTGCCTGCTTTTCCAACTTTATTTCCTGTTACTCTTCTTTAGAAGAGTTACTCTCTTTACTTTACTCTTCTGTATATTCTGGCCCCTTGAATGACTGGGGTCATCCAACAAATCAGACTTCCACATCAGCATGCCTTTGAAAGTTATTATATCATCTGTGTGGACTGCCCAGTTTCCTGGCTGTTCACCTGACAACTTCCCTGTCACGCTTCAAAACCCAGCTCCATTGAAAATGCAGGAAACCTCAGATATGTCTTCCTAGAAAGCCACTCATCTGTCTAAGGATGTGTCTGGACAACCATCCTGCCAGTGCTGCATAAGCAAGGTGCCACAGTCTTGTCTAGGCTGCATTTATAACCCAGGTGAGCAGCTACTAATTTGTTCTTCTGGCCTAGAGCTGTAGTCCTCAGATTTCCCTGATCAGTAAAACTTCAAAACTATAGGTTTACCAACTTCCTATTTTAGCAAATAAAGATGTTAAGCTGTAAAAATGATTTTTTTAAAATGTCAGGTCTTTTTAACTCTATATAAATAGGGACACAATTTCATACCAAAGATAGTTGGCAAATTTACACCTATATAGATAAAAATATATGGAAAGCTATATATATATATATATATATATATATATATATATTATATATTTACATATTCATACTAAAAAAACCTTATTTTTCTCATTGCTGTGAACTGGTGAACACTTTGTCACAGTCAAGTAAGGATCAGAATTTGGGAAACTGACTAAGCAGAACTAGCTTAGGCTGATAGAAGGAGGTGGACTTAGAAGTTCCTAGTGGATGACTGTAGGCATAGAACTGTGCCATGGTCGAGCACCCTTGGGCAAGGGCTTTCTAAGAACCCAGGCAGACAACTACATAGGGTAACCAGAGCAGAATGACAACACCTTGCCTACCCAGTTGCTTTTACCATGTCATTCATACTTTCTACCTCCCCATTCCTTTGGGCTACTACCTGCTGTATGTTGTCAAAAGGTCAAGTTTGTAAATAACCTGTATCATTTGTTGACAAAAATCCCAACAACTGTCACAGTATCTTCATCCTGTGAAGCCTTTCCTGACTTTCAGTGATGACCCAACTCCTTGTACATAATCTTTTGTACAGTACTTAGTTCAGTCATTATTTGACTACATGTCTGTCTTTTTCAGTAGCCTGAAGTCCCTTAAGGACAAGGAACTCTCTCTTCTTGTTTCCCTATTTTTTTTGCTTTTGGTCCAGTATATAAAACTACCATGCCACATAAACTTATTAAAATATTAAAGAGAAAAAAGAACTACTTTGCTGCTAAAGCTACAGAATACCAAAACCTATAATAAAAATCACTTACACATTATATATACGTATATATATTTTCATGGTGTTATATGCACAGAATTAGCTTACCTGGCAGCTCTTTTGGACCACCCCAACTGATTTGCACGAACTGCAACGTCTTGGTTAAGGTGCCTTGCAATGCTTTTTATTTCTGGCTGCAAATTTTCCACCTAGCTAAAGAAAAAGTAGGCTTTGTTATGGGAACATAAAAGATCTTTATTCATAACCATTCATAATTTCACTCTCTATTCCCTCAGCTCATTTAAAAATGTGGTTTACTGGTCATGTCAAGAAACCCTAAGTCTGCGTATAGGATGTTAATTTAAGATTTCCTCAGTTGCAACCAAATTCAAACTCCAGCTTGTACATCAGTATGATCTTGGACAAATTATTTAACCTCTAAAGTCCTATTCTCTCATATATAAAATGTATATCAGCACCTACTTCACAGGGTTATTATAAGGATTATATAAGAACTACACTCTGCACTTTAATGTTTCAATTCCTGGATTTCCCAGTAATGTCAACTGAGGAAACAGAAGTCCATTAAGAATCTTTAATATACTCTGTGGCAGTCACAGAGCCACCAAAAATTGCATTTACTTCTGCCCTGTGTTAATTCCTTTTTGTAAAGTAGCTCACTGCCTTACTGGTACTGATGACTAACACTAAGCACTCCGGGGGTACCTGGGGACCTTAAGCCCCGGGTAGACGTCGGCCAGTCCTCACCACGGAAGCGCGTCCATGCGCGGCTCGGCGCCCCTCACCTTGGCCAGGATGTAGTGCTGGTAGGCGGCCAAGGGCAGCGTGACAGCGCCGCGCAGGGCCACGGTGGTGAGAAGAATGCTGCCCCACCAGGGCAGGCCCGAGGCGGTGTGCGCAAAAAGCAGTACGTCCTCGGCGCCCTGCACCGGCGCCGACGTAGCCAGGGCTTCATACCAGCCACCCGCGCCGCTCGGGCCAACTGCAGAGACTGATGCCACCGCCCACAATGGCAGAGCGGAGGGCTTGGCGCCGCCGGTGGGGGCCGGTACGACCGGTGGGCACAAGCCCCGGAGCTGCAGGGCAGGCCGCGGCTGCAGCCACCTAACGCTCAACCGGCACAGCATCTCTGCACACGACTGTATCCAACACGCGTACAACACGGGCTAACTGCACGTACCGCTCACCGAGGCCGCTACGCGCATGCGCTGGCGACGCCGGGCGTAAAGATGGCGGCAGCCCGCCGGCAGCCATAATTGACTTCCCCAATCACACCAGTGACGTATTGCGTCGCACTAGAGATGACGCAAGACGTAGGGAAGTCCCGCCTTTCCCACGCGGCACTAATCAAGCCTACTGCGCACACACGAAACTTCCGCGGTGCTGCGGTGGAGCTCCTCAGAGGCTCGACCGGAATTGCAGAGTCGGAGGTGGGGCTTGCTGCCCGGGGCGGGGCTTGCTGCACTGGGCCGGGAGAGGTGTTTTCTGGGAGGAGCTCACCTTGTAAAGTTGGTGTTCGGGTTGTGCCTTTCCGTTCTTTTTCACTTAAACTAATCGGGTCACGGTTTAAGTTTTACCTTATGTGATCAGGAGGTAGTCCCCCACGTCTTTTTGTGCGCGCCCCAATTGCTTCCGCTAGAGATTGAGATAGATTATACTACCCAGGAGTCAACATGTTGCTGAAATGCCAGTTTGGAGACAGGCGTGTGTTTCTGGATTGTTTTAATCAACAACCTTTATGCACTAGGCTTAGTTTAGTCTGTGGTATGTTTAATTGGCTCATCTGTCATAATAGACATTTTCAGACCCAACTTAAGTGTTTTCTTTCATCATAAAGAGCAGCAAAACACCTTATGTTAAGGGTAAAGTACCATCTCCTGAGTTAAGAGGAATTATCACTGGCAGCGCGGTGAATTCTTTACTGGGGCTTAACATATATCCTATATAAGCTTTCAAGAGCCTGAACAGCAACACTAGGTGTCTTCTGGTTAAAAGGAATAGGCTAAATGTATATGGGCTAATTTTGGGTTTTTTGCTCCTGGCAAAAGCAAACACGGGAATAACATGAAGGAGTTTCCTAAAAGAAGGGTCACCCCTACACCTAGAGGCCAAATTGTGTTGTGAGGAAAACGTTGATTAAAACGAAGGCTCCAACCAGTGTTGGGGTAATGTCAAACTGAAGCTACTGTTCTTGCTTCATTATGCACCTACCCAAGGGTACCAGATACACCCTTTCCTCTGGATTCTGGAAGTCATCTTCCTTCAAATTGGCTGATAAATCCATGCATGAATTTTTGAATGTTAACACACACATTCCAATATCTGTTATACACACAATTTCCTTTTTAAAGGTAAAAACCTATCAATCTATCTCCCTATCCGTTTGTCAAGTTAAAACAAGCAACCTGTTGCTACTGACTACTGATTTAAAGTGGAAAGGAATTTTAGAGGGAAATATCTTGGCCCAAAGATTGTGAGTAAAGAAGCAACTTCTATGCTGCTGGATTCCTCTCCTCCCAGAGAACTGATGACATTAGGAGTTGGTCCTTCCACAGTGGCACATAAGCTTAGGGAATCTGATCTTTTGATATCCAGGAGAAAAGGAGATTAAAGGATAAAGATCCTAAAGTGAAAAATTCATATTTATGCATTCACTGTTCATATAATTTAAAACAAAAGTTTGTCAAGCTATTCCTCAAACTCCTAAGACTTCCTTTTGTTAAGCTGTATCAGGAGTCGGGACTGGGACCTCTTCAACCAGTGTAGGTCCACCCTTTCTGCTACATTTTGGGGTCACAAATTACATTCTCATTTACAAATGTTCCATTGTTTTAAGCTTGAATATTGTGATGTAAATAAAATTTATGAATATTTAACTTGATAACTTCATATACATAAACATACATTTTAAAATTTGGATAATGGGGATGATCAGAACTGGCTGTCTACTTGGTAGAGAATGTTGGGAAAAGTATTTGTCAATTATAAAGCCCAATGCAAAAGAAGTGTCAGCACTCATGTATATGTATGTACTGGTAACATTGTGATACCTTGTATCTTTTGAGTTGCAGAGTACAGTACAAAATGACCATGCAAATATCGGGCAAACCAACCAACTGAAATCATGTACTTTGCAAATGGACATACTAAACATTTTTTTAAAGTTCAACATTATTAGCCTATTCCTGTCTTTTATTCTTACTACAACACACTTTTTTCTTAATTTTATTTAAACTCCTTAAAAACAAAGACTATATATTTACTTTCTAAAGTTTCTGAAATTCTTATCCATCGCTGTGCTGAACATAGGAATGGAGGTCAAAATATTAATGTAGGCTATTATACATAAACTGTATATATGTACAGTCATTTAAATTTCTCATTTCCCATATATGCCTTCTGAAATGTTTGACTTTAAAGGATATTTTCACAAGGAATTGTTAGTGTTCCCTGGGAATCAGATTTAATTTCTTCTCTTTTTCCTATTTAATACATTACTTTTTAAAACCAAAGATACCTAATGTAGAATTAGCTTTTTTCTCTCATTAAAAAAATCCTCTCGTATTATCTTATCATTGATTTTTAAGTATTGAGCATGCAAAATTGGCTTTTACTTTTCAAAAGTGTGAATTCATTTAAAGGTAGAAGTCTAATATGAGACCCCTTGTAACACATCTATTAGTCCTACATTCCAAGTGTCACGTAAAGAAATTCTTACTTCTAAGAATTTCTAAGCTACAGTGGCACATTTTCTCTATATTCACTTACCCAAAATGGTAAGTGATGGTATTTTTGCAATCAAGGTGTGTAACACAGTAGATTAAGTATTAAAGCACTAATGATGCGCTCACCCTAAATTCCAGTCACCTGGAATTAACACCAGTTGATTCACAATAACACCAGTTAACTCACAATAACACCAGTTAATTGAGTGTTGTGACTTGTTTAAGCATTTATCAATAGGATATATATATTTCCAAAGAGATTCAGGAGCATCCAGAATTTACAACATATAATGTAAGTGTCCCAAACATTAATATTAAAAGACATCTGAATACATTTATCTAAAGTAAAAATACATTGAGTACTGGAATACTGAATCTCCATATTAGTAATGAAAAACAGTGTAATGGTTTTCCTTTGATATTTTAATCATTTTGAAATAATCCTGATTTAAAAATTTCTTATTTGAAAGTTTTGTCATTCTTTAAATGTTCTGTTCTCTAATGCGAGATTTCCAGTTTAATCTAACACTTTGTATTGTTTTAAAACTAAAGTGAATAATGTATTCACTATTGTGCAAACTATTGTGCAAAATAGTTTTTATGAAATGTGTATTAGGTCATTTGAATCAAAAGAAAAATGGAATAATATTTTCATGAAAAACAAGACAGGAACAGTTAGTGAACTATTTACCTCCTTCTTTTTCCTGAGAAGAAAAATGACTGTAAGTATAGTAATTACCAAAAAAAATTAATTTTCAATTATTAATAAAATAAAATGATTTAACTTTACAGTAACAGGGAACAGAAGGGGAAAATACCTTTCACATGAATACTAAAATTACTTTTTTTGAATATATTGGTATATGTTGAAATATATGTTGAAAAGGCATGAAATGGGGATTCTCTTGGCACAAGTAAACAAAATTATCTCTAAAATGGAATGGTTGGTATAAACAGATTACACAATAATTGGGATATTAACTATTTTGGGATTTAAGGTGTGAACTAACCTAACCGTTATGTCCAAGAGTTAAGCTGCTTCTTAAAAGAATAAGAGAAAAGAAATACCTTACATAGTCTGCAATTATACATACCACATTACTTTCAAAAAGGGGGAAAAAAAAGACCTGCATGGTCTCAAAAGATTATGTTTTTTATTGTTCAAATAAAAGTGCACTGCATTACATCTGAAATATAAAAAATGTATTTGAAAAATGTTCCTACTACAGACTTCTAAAACCATGGTATTGTATTTAACAAGCCTGATCCCCAAAACTAAATAAGGAACATTCCAATCAATACTCCCCTGTCCTGTAGCTTTAAAGTAAAAAATATATATATAGGGTTTTTTTTTCCTTTTCTTTTTTAGTAAGACACCCTATCTTAAGAAATTCACTTTTGTGAGTCAACACAAGTCATGTGTTTTGATAAATACTGGCTAGTATCTGTTATCTAGCAAGATTATTTTAATTAGAAAATAAACTCTAGTAAACACAGCAAAAAAATCAAGCAAAAAATTATAGGATGGTGGCAAAAGTCATACATAAAATAGTCTGTTAAATGGCATTATACCCCTTTCTTAGTAAAGTGCAATAATTTTATGTCATAAGTATATTTATTTGTAGGTTTTCATTTAGCTTTTCCTTTAAATTTGGTCATATCAATCAAGGACAGGTAGGAAAACAAATTTATATATTTTAAGACCACCTCCTAAAATAAAAGACATAAATGTGTTGTTTACAAACTTCTGCATATGTTTGAGAAATCCTCTTTTCTACTCTTTACTCAGGCTACCAGAATAAAGAAATCATTTCATTTACTTGAACAGCCAAGGAACCATATTAATATTGTCAACTGTGGGTGATCTATCTGAATCTTCGTTAATGTTTATGTTTCAACAGTGAGGAATTTAGGTCTAATTTTTTTTTAAAAAAGACAGATTGATATATACATCACTTTACTTTTATGCTTACTTTCTTTTACATTTCAACCATATAATTTATTTTTCCACATGAGACGGTAGGACACATATTCTTCTTGGATATGTTACTGTTTATTGTTCCAAGTGAACTGAATAGATAAATTCCACTGAGTAGTTTAGTGTGGCCCTGTGTCTTATATAAACAGGTTAAATGGAGACTTCATTTTGTAACCTGTGTATTCATGTCTACCATAAATTGTCTTAATGAAAAATGCAAAATGTATTTTATTACTTGCCCCAAGTTAGCTGTTGATCCCTTTCACTTTTAATATACAAGTGTAGAGATTAAGAAGCCTTTAAAATTGAAAAATAAAACCCCAAAAAACCAAACACCTTCCACTAAATTACTGAAAATTGGAATTTTTATGTTGACTCCTGGTGACCAGAAAGCCAATGTTAAGAATCAATATTATCCAATATAAAATAGTACATTGAATTGTTTAATAATAAACAGTATATTAAGGGCTTATATATGCTGACTGGGAACCAGTGGTGGCTTTTTAAATTCTCAAAAAGACTGTATGTTTTATGGTTAGAAGAAACGACAAGAGATGATGAAGATTCTCCACCTCTTCGTAGCAGCCATTAGAGTAAAAATCTTTACAGAATTATTTCACTATCAGCAAGAAAATTTTACCGGTATTAGTGGTAAGGGTGAAGAGAGAAAAAAAGAATGAAGAGAGAAGTGTGTATTAGTTTTAAAAGTGTGACAAGGTAATAAAGAGACATGAAAAAGTGATAAATTTCTTATTCTATATGTGCCTTGCTGCAAACAAACTCAAAAGAGAGAAGCATGGGTATTTTAAAAGCCAACGTCGGGAAGCATTCACTGATAATGCCCATTGTTTTACTTTATACTTAAATTACACAAGCAAAAAAGTTGTACTTATTAATAGTTTAATGTATGAAGGAAACATCCAGATTTCTGAATATGAAGGTACATATCTCACATTAATTTAAGTCTACATAAAGTAGAGCCTCTATACTGACATATTGAAATTTACTTTCTGCTTAGCCTTTTCTGTTATGTAAACAATTGTACATTTATTTGCCATTCTAAAACTTCAGGATCAAGTTTACATAATTTTGCTAAATTTCCGTGTTTGCTCAGAAGCAGTTTACAGTACTAAAACCAACCAGCCAAAGAACAGCTTCAACAGAAAGTTATGGCCAAAGGGGAAGAGGGAAAGAAAAAAAGAAAAATGATAAGAAAAATGCTAACTAAGGTAAAACAGATGATGATGGGGAATGGGCAGTCACAAATGTTCACAGAAAGTAGGTCAGTTAGTAAGTTCTTCTGCAAAAAGCCTACACACTTCAGTCAAGCACATCAGTAGAATGATTTGGGAGCATAAATTTTTTTCGGCCACTTGTGATTTCCTCTGAATGAAAAGGAATCTGCAGGCTAACAAGCTGATCCTCATCAGCCAAGCTGGTTCATATGCACACTGTTCATGTGAGGTGCCCAGGGTCCAGTCCACACCTATGAATATAGAGCACACATTTGATTACATATGTATTGAACGTATATTTGATTAAAACAAAACTCTTCAACACTAAGGAAGTGCTCCTAATATTTATGAACTAAAATAGCTAAGTCTCAATCAGTTTGCAACATGCTGGGAAACAATGAAGAAAAGCAGTGATAAACCACTTTTATCTGTTGTTTTCCTGCCTTTCCTCTTATCCCTCAAACAGGATCTGAATTATCATTGTTTTTTAAAAACCATTATGTGAGTACATACAGGTTGATGACTGTGGAAGGAAAATGAATCAGGTATTAAACATATACCATAATAAGCTAAAATATACAACCATTTCTGTGCATTTTCACAGTTATATACTGTTTTGACATTTATAATACTTTTAATAAATAACCTCTAGATGGCCCTTTTCACACCACTAGTAAATTCTGATACATAAGATTACATTACAACACTTTGCAACTTAAAATGTTTTACTTACCACCCAACAGAATATATTAATTATGCCTTTCATAATTTTAGCCCCAAACCACTACCTTTGGTACCATTTTCCATATCATTCTGCTGTATTTCAGCTACATTAAACTTCCCTCAATTTCCTCAACTGCTCAAATTCACCATACTCTCTCACAACAATGATTTATCTTTATCCCATTTGTCTTGGCAGCTCATAAACACTAAATAAAAGTTCACTGAATGATCAGCCTTACCGTTTGAGGGCCATTATTTTCTGTGGAGCTTGAAACCATCTTTATCAGGGAATTCCAAGAGGGGTCCGCAGCATGAGGGCCATTAAATATGGGTCCTCCAGCACCATCAGGAATAGGTGCTACTGGAGGAATCATTGCATTCCCATACACAGAAAAAGGCATACCCTTAAAAGAGGAGAAAGCAAAGATTATGGACATTCAAGTCACTGGTTACTTTTCCCAGTATAATCAATAGCCTTAAAACTGATATTTGAAACTTCACCTCATTTTGGAAAAGTATAAGTTATCTAGGTGATGTAAAAATTATTTTCCATAATATGATTTCTTCTAGCACTAAACAGAAGATACTATAATCCTAGTATATAAAATATTTTGTCAAAAAACATTTCTCTAAACTGGGACAAAATCAGGATTTATAAATGTTTATATTTTAGCCAGCTTTTGACCTATAATTCCAAGCCAAAACTCCAGCATCATTTCAGAAACACTTATATTCTGGTAAGTGAAATAAGGCTAATAATCAGAAAATCATTTCGAAATAATGAAAATGCTTTTAAATCACCATTACCCCAACTTTAGGAAAGTCCATGTATCCTGCAGGAACATGCTGATGGAATGTACCAGAAGGAGTTACAATTCCTGTACTCTCTCGCTCCATTGCTTGATGCTGTGAAAACACTCCTGGATCAGACATTGGCCTGTGCATCATAGGATTTCCCATCCCAGGGTTACACCAGTCTACTTTGTCTGAGGGAAAATGAAGAGGCAGAAAAAAATAATTGGTGATATTTAAAATCAGAAAGCAGCAAAAAAAATTTATATATTTTGAATATTTTCCATATTGAATTGTGAATTCCTTCAGAATAATGACCTACTTTTATATATTTATCACAGTATTTCCATGTTTGTAGGTAGTGACATAATAGCCTAACAAAGTAACATAAACACTTTGTGTTACAAAACAAAAAAAGCTAAGATAAAAGCTTAAGAGACCCAGAAGAAATATTAATATTTCCTTAATATGAAGAAAATAATATGCTTGCATTAAACTATCTTCAGAAAGCAATGATAAATTCAGTAAGAGCTCACATGGGAACAAAAAAATGTTTCAAACTCTTAAATAAATTGATTAGTCAAAACAAAAAGACATGAATACAGATTTTTAAAGAATGCCTATGATAATTAAATACTGCTTACAATATTTTAGTTAAATGCATAAACTTACTTTCCAGTAAGCAGAATAGCATATCATACCTTGATTGCCACCAATCCCTTCAAAGGACCAGATGCCACTATGCCCTACTGATGTGGACAAATTACTCCCAATAACAGATGGAGCTGAAGTTCCAGTTTGCCTGATACGTGCAGAACGTTCCGTCCCAATAGGGACTGGAACTTTTCTATCCTGAGAGACGTTGCTGGGCTTTTCTGACCCTAAAGGTACTGATGATGGGGCAGGAGAAGGTGCACGAACTCCGGAGGATACCGACTGTGCAGGAGAATCTAAAGAAAAGATATTTTCAAATAATATACATGTCAACTATACAGCCTGTACTTTTGTAAAACAGAATCTTAAATTCTGAAGATATCTTAAATATGCATTCTTTGAGGAAAAAATGAAATTTGAGTATACTGCTTAGATAATAAATTATGTATATTAAAATTTGGTTAAAGTTCTATGACTCTGCAGTCAGTTTTTAATTCGGCTCACAATTTTCCCATTTAGTTTCATGATAGTAGAATGTGAAGGTGTGAATGCTGCAACTACACACTAATTAATATTTAAATAAATTTACCCTTGACAGTGGGTAGAACAGAACACCAGAGCAATGAGAAGACAATGTTTAAATTAAAAAAACAAATAACAATGACAACAACAAAATGGAGGTGGGGAAAACCACTGCCTGTATTGGCAATTCTCAAACTATTTTCCTTGGGAACATTTGTCCCTTGGTATGTTATGATGAAAAAACAAAGATATTCAGGTATCTAACAAATTTGGAAGATCAAGCTTAAGAAAAAAGTAAGTTTCTTTAAATCAGGACTTCACAGAACTTTAATATGCTGATAAAATACCAACAGAAGGCTATGCTTCATAACCCAACTGTTTCATTCTATCTTGTGGGTATTCCACAGAAAACTTTTAGAAATGGCGGTTTAAGCTCTACTTATCAAAACAAAGCTAGTTCTTAATATAGGCAATTTGGGAGCATTCATTAGTGATTTAATCTCTTTACACACTACAGAGAAGAAGGATAAACAAAAATAACCAAAACTGTATTTCTTATGAAAAGTTCAAATCTCAAGCACATTCAAATTTAAATAGAGTCTGAATTGTGGAGGAGCTTGAAGCTTAAAAGTCAAAACAGCTGGGCTTCCCTGGTGGCGCAGTGGTTAAGAATGCGCCTGCCAGTGCAGGAGACATGGGTTAGAGCCCTGGTCCGGGAAGATCCCACATGCCACGGAGCAACTAGCCCATGCGCCACAACTACTGAAGCCTGTGCTCTAGAGCCCACGAGCCACAAGTACTGAGCCCATGTGCCACAACCACTGAAGCCCACGAGCCTAGAGCCTGTGCTCTGCAACAAGAGAAGTCACCGCAATGAGAAGCCTGTGCACCGCAACCAGAGTAGCCCCCGCTAGCCCCAACTAGAGAAAGCCTGTGTGCAGCAACGAAGACCCAACGTAGCCAAAAATAAATAAATAAATAAATTTTTAAAAAGTCAAAAGAGTTACCTGCATAGATACAACTTATTCATAACTGACTCTATGCCCTAGTGATAGTCATTTAATATTTTTTCATTTATGTTTGCATTTAAGTTTTCTATATGTATGTGTGTATGCGTGGGAATGTGTGTGTGTGTGTATGTATCTATCCAAAAGGACTCAGGTAGCTAATCAATTTACAAAATCAATCAATCTATCTGTACACATAGTGTACATAGTGTACATAGTGCTTCTATATCCTGAGGTACTTTTCAGGGAACTTGGAAGACAAAGAAAATTCAATAATATTATTGGCCTGAACATGTTTTTTAGAAGACTTCTCACATGTATTTTAGAATCATACAAAATTGGAAAGTACTGTGGGGATCAATTCCATCTTATTAGTACTTGCAGAAGTCTATTTTGGTTAAATTGATAGTACCGCCACTCAATGAGATGTCGTGACTATTAACTAAAAGGAATGAATGCTAAAGTACCTTATAAATTATAATTTATTGTATGGATACTGATTTCATTGGGGAACAAAAACATGAAACATGGACTTAACTGTAAAAGTAAACCAAGAAAACTATTACCTTCTAATGAAAAATTAAAATATATTTCCTGCGGTCATGGATCCATTAGCATTACTTGATAGCATTTACTTTTAACAAATGAAAAGAAAATGGAAAAGCCACATGTGTCTTCAAAAAAATTATAAATATTTAAAAATTCATCTTACAGTGGCATAAGAAGGAATTCTAGGATGATGCAAGTAACAGTAGCACAGGTTTTGATTCTTCCCATTAAAAAAAGCCACTAAGTTAGCTAAGCCCAAAACCCATGCCCATGGATAACATCTATAACAAAACAGACAAGATATCCAAATGAATCCAAAGATACAAGTGAATGGGGACAAATCACCAACAGCTATAAGACTCATGTAGTAGCAGCATCTGTGTGGAAGGAAGCAATTCTCTAGACCTGAGAACAGAAGAGCCACAAAACAGTCAAAGGTATTCAAAGGAAAGCAGGGCAGGCCAATCTGAGAACAGCAGGTGAAAGTGGGAGAGTTCTGCCTATGCATGGGTGATTGTAAGGGATTCACAGTAAGGTCTGAAAAAGCTGGAGCAACTTGGGCCCTATGACTTTAAAAAAATATATATTTATTTATTTATTTATTCGGCTGCATTGGGTCTCAGTTGCAGCACACAGGATCTTCGTTGCAGCATGTGGGATCTTTCATTGCGGTGCATGGGCTTCTCTCTAGTTGTGGCACGTGGGTTCCAGGGCAGTGGTCCCCAACCTTTTTGGCACCAGGGACCAGTTTTGTGGAAGACAATTTTTCCACAGGGTGGGGGATGTGTGTGGGGGGTGGGGAATGGTTCAGGTGGTAATGGGGGTGATGATTCAGGTGGTAATGTGAGCTATGTGGAGCGATGGGGAGCAGCAGATGAAGCTTTGCTCTCTCGCCTGCCACTCACCTCCTGCTGTGAGGCCCGGTTCCTAACAGGCTGCAGATGGGGGGCTGGGAACCCCTGCTCTAGAGCGTGCAGGCTTAGTTGCCCCACAGCATGTGGGATCTTAGTTCCCCGATCAGGGATCGAACCCACGTCCCCTGCACTGGAAGGCAGATTCTTAACCACTGGACCATCAAGGAAGTCCTCGCTATGACTTCTTAAAGGTACCTGCTGATAAAGTCCTACACTGACAAGAAACTTCTGGGAACAGATTCTAAACTGAACAGGAAAGCGACAACAAAAGCAAAGTGAAGAAAATATCCAGTCAAGAGTAGGGCAGAGGTAGAAGAGGTGGGTAGGCTGGATGGGTGGGTAAGGACAACAAAGCCAAGAGATTTAACAAAGTATAAGACCATATTTTTGCACACTTCCTTATAAGAGGAAATTCTAGAGTCTTTAAGCTAGAGAAGATATCCGGATCCACTTACTCCTTCTAAATGTTCAGGAAAACTCACTTCATTAAAAAATTCAAAACAAAATAGAACTGCAGTCGAATTCCATGCAAAGCTATTCTATTAACTAAAGGAGATATGGACCCATAATAACTTGCAGACCAGAGGTCCCCAACCCCTGGGCCGCAGACCGGTACTCGTCCTCGGCCTGTTAGGAACTGGGCCGCACAGCACGAGGTGAGCGGCGGGCAAGCGAGCAAAGCTTCATCTGCCACTCCCCATCACTCCCATTACCCCCGTCCATAGAAAAACTGTCTTCCACGAAACCAGTTCCTGCTGCCAAAAAAACCAGTCCCTGGGCTTCCCTGGTGGCGCAGTGGTTGAGAGTCCGCCTGCCGATGCAGGGGACGCGGGTTCGTGCCCCGGTCCGGGGAAGATCCCACATGCCGCGGAGCGGCTGGGCCCGTGAGCCATGGCCACCGAGCCTGTGCATCCGGAGCCTGTGTTCTGCAGCGGGAGGGGCCGCAACGGTGAGAGGCCCGCGTACCGCAAAACAAAACAAAACAAAACAAACAAAACAAAAAAACCCAAAAAAACCCAGTGCTATAGTTTAGTCTAATATTCTAAAGGCACATCAGAAAGAGACTATAATCTAAAATTCCAAAGTGAGCTTAAAGAAATAAAAGATTTGAAAGAACAGCATAATTCAGAATTAGTAAAACTAGAAACAAGATGACAAAACTCAGGAAAGGATTAGAAATGAAAGAATATTCCAGAAAAGACTAAATCGAACTGCAAGGAACACAAGCAGTTGTAAATATGATACACAAAGTTCTATTTTTTGTTTTTTAAACTACATATTGAAAGGGCACAATTATACACCTGAGAAAAATCAACCCAGAAAATTAACACGAAGACACAGTCAAAGGTGACAGGGAGGAAGGAAGCAGAGATGGAAGGCAAGCAGGAAGGACTGATGGAAGGAGAACGAATGAATCCTACCTTTCCTCAGACTCATCTCTGGGAGCCTGCCCTAACTTCTACGTTAGAGCTAGTTTTTCACTCTTTTACTGTATCCTTCAAAAAACAAAAGCAAAGCAAAATAACAGAAACCCTCCATATTCTGTTTTTTTAATTTATTTTTTTATTTTTGGCTGCTTGCGTCTTCATTGCTGCAAGCGGGCTTTTTCTAGTTGCAGCGAGCAAGGGCTACTCTTTGTTGCAGTGCCCGGGCTTCTCATTGCGGTGGCTTCTCTTGCTGTGGAGCACAGGCTCCAGGCATGCAGGCTTCAGTAGTTGTGGCATGCGGGCTCAGTAGTTGTGGTGCACAGGATTAGTTGCTCTGTGGCATGTGGGATCTTCCCAGACCAGGGATCGAACCTGTGTGCCCTGCATTGGCAGGTGGATTCATCACTGTGCCACTAGGGAGGTCCCAAGAAACCCTCCATATTCTGTTTAAATGAGCAGAATAACGAGGCTTGCCTGCTAACCCACCTCATTTAAGAAATTTGCCCTGGGACTTCCCTGGTGGCACAGTACATAAGAATCCACCTGATAATACAGGGGACACTGGTTCGTTCCCTGGTCCAGGAAGATCCCACATGCCGTGGAGCACCTAAGCCCATGCGCCACAACTATTGACCTGCGCTCTAGAGCCCGCAAGTCACAACTACTGAGCCCGCATGCCACAACTACTGAAGCCCGCGCGCCTAGAGCCCGTAGTCCACAACAAGAGAAGCCACCGCAATGAGAAGCCCGCGCACCGCAACAAAGAGTAGCCCCTGCTCACCACAACTAGAGAAAGCCTGAAAAAATAAAAATTTGCCCTTTTCACAGATTCTGCCACCTCACTAGCCATAGTTCGTTGTTTTTTTATTTTATTTTT